GAGGTTAGCAGAACAAGCTACAGGTCAAACTTGGAGAAATTCGAATACTTCACTTCTATCTGAAGTTTGTGCTGATGATGTTGTTCAGAAGAACAACGACAGCTTCACAACCAAAACATCCAGCTCAGAGAACAACCACAATGTTCTACCTGTAAAACCATATTAACCAGTGGTTTACGGTTGTTTTTTCTCCAAACTCTATAAATTTTCGTGTGTATGTTGGATGTTTTTGATTTTCTCTCACGGTTGTCTCCAGGTATTATTATTTGGTTTTATAGATTGTTTTACGTTTCTTTATCGTTCTGTACATTCTTTATATAGAGATGACTGAAGGATAGTTATGCTGCTATTGTAACACTTGATTGAAGCTTTACTAAATTTATGTCGATCCTACAATTAGGAAAACCAATCAGCCTAAAGTAGTATAAGTTTATCTCCTAGAACTAATCTCTGTCGTGTTTTTTTTGCCTTGTATAATAATTTATGGATAAGTGAATCCAATTTGATATTTATTTATTTATCAAGATTTTTTATTGACACTTCAGTTCTTGCACCGATCACAATACGCTTAAGAATTTGAATTGCAATCGAATGGTTCAATTTTAGTCAGTATGCAACATAGCCACTGTCCTTACTGGATTTTTTCCGTCTATAACTGTTTCAGCGCCGGGCGAATTGATTCCCTAGATGAAGAATGTTCACTCAGTTTTTGAGAAATCCAACTTCACCACTACTAGTAAAATACCATTAAATTAGGTAGATTAGCGTAGATGCTGTAGAATTTGTCAATATTTCTTTCTTTACTCTGTTCTGCCTTAAAAGGAAAAACTAACTAACTAACTACATAGTCTGTGATCTGTTGTTTTATATATATATACATATATATATATATATATATATATATATATATATATTGTGTATATTATCAATCAAATAAACAGCTATACATACGATTTTGTTGTAATTATTAGATAGCATTTTTTTAAAACAAACAAACAAACAAGATTATTTGTGTTTTGAAAGTTAACTGTGTTTATAAACTAATCAATGTGCTAAAAGTAATGGATCTTATCGTCGTATGTTTTGTTCAGTTGATTTGTTTATGCTTAATTTTGACAGATATGTATATATGTATATATATATATGGTGTTTATTTTATACTTCTTTCCACAGAGTATTAAAATCAATTGAACTGTCATTATTAAACATAACTTACTGATGAGATTACTTAAATACACAACAGCTTAACCTAACACTACCTAACTACCTACCTTCCTACCTACCTACCGATTGTGCATTTCTATACTAATGTGTGTGTATTTTGCCATTCATCGACACACCACTGTTTCAATGAAAAAAAATAACAACTTCTGTGCTTGTTGTTTTAAACTTTTGTCATTGACCTGTCATTTGATAATTGGTTTTTTCTCTCCACCTTTTTCCTTATCTTTTATTCTCTGTCTTGATTTATTTATTTGGTAGGCTTTCAATTTTTATTATTATTATTATTATTATTATTATTATTATGACTTCATTTTATTTGTAGTCATTTCATTCTGGTTTTTTTCTGTTTTATTTTATTAATCTTATTATTATAACTGATTTTGATTTTATTATTATTACGCTCATAGTATGCGCTAGGAAAAATTGATTTTTTTTGACTGACTTTCCCTCAGCTTATTCAATCTTACTGGAGTTGCTTTGTACTAATTTTTGTGTGTGTGTATGTATAATGTTACCGTTGACAGAATTGTATATACGGAATAACTCATTGTTTTACACTTGTTCAACTTACTTTACCTTCTGCGGTTAACATTGATCGTCAGAGATATTAAATTTACTTGAATGAAGTTAACTGTGATGAATTTTTTTTTTTTTGGTTAAAGAAACGTAAGTTTCTTTTTCATTTTGCTAATCGGCGACATGAAAATGTTTTAAACAAGATTTTCAAGATTTTACTCCTGTGCACTATTAAACAAACAAATATTCTTTAGAATTTGACTTACAACAATCGGTCACTTTGATTATTTCCACTTTCAAAGTTTGAATAGCTTCTTCTGAGAAGCAATACTATTATCACGAGGCGGTCGCTTCCTTTTTGAGTTTCAACGTGTTTGTAACCGGTCTAATTTTGATGCTTTACTTATTTGTATGGGCAAAGTTTTATTTTTTTTTATTTATTTTTGTATTGCTTAGTGGTAAAAATAACTTGTTAAGTGTGTGTGTGTGTGTGTATCTACTTATCATACATACTTCCTATAATCGCTTGAATCACTTCAAAGCTAATTCACATCGCTTACGGAAAGATTAATAAAATGTTAGTAACTGAAACATTTTAGAATATCTTGACAAAAGCACTCACTAATCTGATATTTTCTTACATAAGCTCTACTCAAAAGTTTCAACTAGCAGTATCACATATAAAATTGTATGTTCTACGAATATCAATGATCCATGCACAAAATAAAAAGTACAAGTTCTAACTACTGAATTCGATTTCTAAAAGCAAAAAAACAAAAATTAAAATCTGCTGCCTCTCTCATTGCCCAACATTTTATTCGAAAAAAAAAGATAGTGTTTTGTAATTTTTTTTTGCAAAATATGGTCAGTTGTATAGTATTCGGTGTTGAAAGTTTCTGGAAATTCTTTGCAGCATAACAAATGGTTACTGGTAGAAATAATAATATAACACGATTACTATGTTTACGATTTTTACCCAACGATGTGTTGTTTTAAGCAACAATGTGAAGTAATTATATCAGAAAAGTTTGTTGATTTTGTCATGCAATCAATCAACTGTAGACTAATCATTTCTGGCTAGTTTTATTTAAGTAAATGAATGATTGAAACTTTGTATTCCTCTTCTAGAGATGATGTATCTTCTAATGAATCAAAATCAACTAAAAAAAAATAGCCCGACTCAAATGCATCAACAAGCCTATTTTTTTTCTGTTTCTCAATACACCTACAGTCTAGTCTATTTTACTGTTTTCATGAAGTGTCAAAACTCGAGTATGTGATTATTGTAAGCTTAGCTAATTAATATTTAATGAAATTTTAATTCATAGTTTCTTTTTTTCAAATTCAATCGACTTATACTCTTTTTTAATGCAACATTATTAGTCACTTAGAAATTTTGTTGCAATCCATTATCATTATGACTTATGGCGTAGGCGAGATATCCGTTTACTGACTATAGGACGAGTGTACTGCGCAGTAGTTCGCTCCGTCTTACTTTATGGCTGTGAAACATGGCCAGTGAGAGTAGAAGATATTCGTCGGTTATTGGTTTTCGATCATAGGTGTCTTCGAAGCATTGCTCGTATATCGTGGGACACCCGAGTGAGCAATGCTGTTATTAGGAAACGGGTGCTTGGTAAGAATGGCAGATCAATAGATGAAGTAATGAAACTTCATCAGTTGAGGTGGTTGGGACATATGCTGCGTCTGCCTAACCACCGACTGCTTCGAAGAGCTTTGTTTTGTAGTGTAGGAATAAGTTGGAAGAAAGCTAGGGGTGGCCAAACCAAAACATGGCAGAAATCCATGAAGTCATTGACGAGTGGACTAGCCATGTCGGTAGTTGCCGACTACCTGGTTGGGGTCCGCGAGATGATAATAATCGATGGTGAGATACCCTGAATGACATGGCTGAAAACCGTTCGCAATGGTGCGGGTGCATTTATTCTTTGTGTTCTCTCAAATCCTAATCTTCTGGATTCTTGAACACCTCTAGTTTTGACTTTCTAAACTTTTCTCACTGAATCGCATTTCTTGAATGTCTTCTAATCCTAACCTCTCCGATTACTTCTAATACCTTTACTATCTCTTCTACTAATGGATTTGAATTGACAATTACATCTCTGTGCTGACGTGGTATGGCAACATGAACTGATGTACTTACGTACGAAGTTCTACGTTGCATCTGACTGACTGACTGACTGACTGACATGGATCGTGTTGATGCTTATTGTAGACTGGTAAACCATGTATAATCTGATTAGTTTGATTTTCCATGTAGTCAGTGCTCATTCACTATTGTTCATAATCTAAAAAGAAAAAGGTCAATCAAATCCTGTATTCAATGATTATTTTCTAATCGATTATAAATTGTTAAAGTTTTGTGCGATGTGAAACATATAAGATGGATTAATGATATTATATACAATATGCCTTCCTCATTACATGTTGGTTAGGTTCGATCTTCAGGTCACTGGATTCTCGCAACATTTCCCTTTTTATTCTGTTCCTTTTCCTCTGCTAATTTCTGCGATAAGTTAATTCGCATTTAATGAACCGTATTATTAACTGACTTAAGAAATAACTAGCCATGTTATTGTCTGTTTGAAGGACCATAGTGAAATATAAATCATACAGATTTATAATAAATAATTCATAGGAATAAATTTATTGTTTGTCCTTTAGTTTATATATATATATATATTTGCCAGGCCATCTCCTAATATGATGCAAATAAGTTTCTGTTACATGATTTATATTGAGAATGGCAACTTTTAAATCATAAATCGATAGTTTAGAATTGTTTTTTTTCTTTTTAAATAAGTTGAATCTATCGATTGCAATTCGATTGTGAGGATGTAGAAAAACATACAGTCTGAGAGACAGAAGGAAACAATTGTATTAGTTGATCTTAATTTACAAAAAAATCTATTTTGAATAGGACTGTTTTCAATTTAAAAGACAATATTGAAAATTCATGTTAATCATTGTACATACCTCCCTTGTAGAAGAATTAATGTTTTGAGTTACATTAAGATAATAAATACGACCATTGTTTGTCGGATAATTACACTGACATAAATTAAAAGGAATTTCCTCATATATATATATATATATATATATATATATATATATATATATATATATATATACATTAGTAAATTTAAATTTATCCCAGTTTTTCATCTTACTGTGATGTACATTTAACGATACGAACTCAATAATGTTCTTTATTGAAAATTGTTTTTTTCTGTTGATAGAATCATATCTGCTCATGGACGAATGGCGCGTTTACCTTATCTTGACGAAAGGATTGTAGATTTTTTATCTAAGATTCCATTGGAATTTAAGGTAAGTATCTTTATCATTATTCACTCCAAGTGCCCTTTATGTATAACATCAGAAGTCAGTCAGTCAGTTACGAAGTAGAACTTGATACGTACGTACATAAATTCAAGTTGCCACAACGCATTAACATTCAGATACGAAATTGTTTGTCCGAACACAAACCTTACCGCTGGCTGATACTGATGTAATCTAGTTTCGTCCAGCGTTGAGTTGATTTTGAAGGACATCATTTCAAAAGATGTTTATCCTCATGCTTAAAGTTGGTGTTTAACAGAAATAGGCGATTGGCTGAGTATAGTTGCAGCAGACAGTCGCCGTTATCTGTTCTTTGGGTTGTCTGAAGGTTTGTTTATGATCTACAATCTGACGAAGTGTGAATATTTGGAATATGCATCCACGCGGCGATCTGAAACAAGCCGGGTTTTCTCGAGTTAGCTATTCACGAGTTTCAGTTAGGCGTCGAAGTATTGTTTAATCTGATACTTTGAACACATCGCTGGCTCAAGATTCTAGAGTCTTTGCGAAGAATGCTTATTGTCCTATTCGGTACATGATACGAACTGTAAGAGCTACATTATCTAGTTTAAAGAGTCTTTTCATGAAACCTGGGATAGCGTTCCATGAATTCGATTCACTAGCAGCAGCGGTGCAAGAGCATAAAGATATTCGCGAAGGGTTAGTTGTGGAGGTAAATTGATCTCGTGTGCCGTTAGGCATATAATGGCAGATATTATTTCCCAGCTGCCCCCGTGGGTTAAGATGAGGTATTACATTTTCAAGATCAACCTTTTTCAAGCCCTTCCTTACGTAGTGAGAAGGCAGCTTTGCTTCAGATTCAAATCGTGCGAGGGAAACAAATTACTGCCGTCACACCTCTCTAAAATCAGCATTTCGACTTCACCTTTAGACCTTGAGTTGCTACTTTTAGTGTTACCGTTTTTCCAATCGACCTGCCTTGTATAGTAGGATCTAAAAGAACATATGTTCCAGCAAGTATAGCTCGGCTGAGTTATCATGATTGGCAAGCTCGATCACCACGTCAGGGTAGCAGCTACAGTTGAACTAATATCAGCATAATTAAAACCATAGATTAGTTAGTGCATAACAGGACGCTGATAAACAGTTTTCAGTGTATCATGAGTAAGCAGTTGTTTGATTATATTTCCGAAAAAGCGTTTTCGATGAATCTAGAGAAACTATACAACTCCAATAAAAGTTCACTTTACTATGATCATTCTTTTATTTCTAATCTGAGTTGGTGACAAAATCACTTGATCTGTGTTACGCACCATAACCCAGATCTACTCGTACTTCCGTTTTGGCACCTAGTCTATTCACTAATTCTGGTACTAAATAAGAGTAGCAAGCAAAAGCCGATTACGTAACTTTTTACTCGATAAGTCAATCGTAGTTTGCAACACAAACTGATCTTTGTTAGATAATCCTTGGAAATCGGGTATAATTTAACAGGTATTTCATCCTAGTATCGAATTTAGAAGTGCGCATCCACAGCGGACCGATTGAACTGAGGATTTTGTGTCAAAAACACTGAACGCCTGGATCACTGAGACAGCATACAGTTGTGAAGTTATTATGTAGGACCAGATTCAAGGCATTTATCATAACGTTATATGATTTAGCAGTCTATAAATATCCACTGGTTATACTAACAAATTATATGCTTAATGTGACTTGTATTATCATATCACTGAAAGATTTCTCAATAAGTATATCATCTTACTAATTTGTGTCATGTAACACTAACTGCATTCCTGTTTTGAAATTGTGTGACCAAAATTTAATGAAGTGAATTATTATTTATTAGTGTATTATTAAACCTTAGTTGACTTTTACATTTTCTCATATATCGTAACATTTCTACATATGGAAATGAATAAATTTTACACTAAACAGATAAGCAATTTGATAACTGACGTGTTTTTTTTCCACTCTACTTTACTGGCTAACAATTTACTGAAATAGATTTTAAGTTATTTATTTAGAGAAACAAAAGTGCTGTCTAGTCTCATTAGATTCTCAAATTCCTATGACTTCAAATTAGTCATCTTAATGTATGATCATATCTGAAGTAAATATGTTTTAAAGTAAAAAAAAATTATGAACTTCAGTTTGTAAGCAAAATACATTTGTCAGAATTGTTTATGAATTTTTAAAAAAAATATTGGTTAATCATGATTGGTATGGCTTTTCTATGTCATACAAACTGAGAATTATGTTAGCGCCACGATTGGTTTTTTTTAATTTTCGCACACCTACCTACCTTACCTACTTACCCATCCATTAATGGAACATTTTTTTGTCTCGCTAGTCATATATACACTGATAGTTTGTACTTTTATTGAACGTTTGTTCAGCGATTACGCAATCCATGAAACGATATGAACTAAGTGAGAGTTGAGCATATTTTTATCTTTTCAACTAGAATAACGATATGCATAGGGATGGAGTGTGATACAGATGATAGTGGTTATATCAAATGTTAATGGACTTAAGTATTTATCTCTCAATCACTGGCTCATATCATGGAAAAGTTGTAGAGGAATAAATATCATTTTCACTTCAGCTTCATGACATCATTTATTATTGAATCTTGAATTTTCTAGCTTTATGGAAAATTTAATAGTACTGAGCTCATATTTTGAGTTAACGATAGTATGTAAGGACCATCCAAAGTGATCAATGACAGAAGGCATCATACTTATAACAAGTGTTCAGACCTCACACATTCCATGCGGAATCTCTAAAGAAGGCGTGACTTAAATTCTGAGTAATATTCTGATAATACTCAGGATATCGACTCGTATCTAAATGTTAAGTGTATGTTTTCGCCCATAGTTATTGATTAACAACCATCAATTGCATCTTGTTGTACGTGTGATTTTTACTATCATCAGCATAATTACTAGTATCGGAGGTTGGTGGCTATTGTTCTATGCTTCTTATTCTATTGCACTAACTGATCTGAAAAATAGTAAACACGAGGACATTTTCGTCCGGGTATAGTGCTTCTCATCAGTGGGCATTCACATTTCCAGCACGAATCGAACCTATAGATTTCAGGAGCAAAGCAACTGCCCAGTTCTTGCTGTTTTTTTCTATGATTGCCTAATCTAGGTTAGTTTGTACGCTCAGTAATTGTTGTCATTGTTAATTAGGCTGTTGTTAATAATTGGTTTTGCTCACTTATCTGCAATATATCTGATCTCGCGCACTAAATCTCATTACAACTAATATTTTTATTATTATGAGTAGTAGTAGTAGTAATAGTAATGTTTTTTTCTGTTAAGCATCAATTTGTTGTCAGCATATACATGCAGAATTTGGCTTGAATAATTGGATGGTAATATGATTATATATATATATATATATATATATATATATATATATTTATACGTGTATGTACGTACGTACATACGTATACTTACATGCATAATTCATTCGCAAATTCATCAAATAAATTAATTTGTTCGTTCGCTGTTTTCCTGTTTATTAATTTACCCACATTTTTTTCTCTCTCTCGTTATAATAATGCAAAAAAATTGTGTTTTTTATTTATTTACTCATTGACTTATTTGCTTGTTTGTTTGTTTACGTATGTGAGAAATTCCATCTTTCAGTCCATTAGAATATCCATCTCATCCATCCAACAACATTAATGATGACAACATCCTGAACATTTTGTGAAACTCTAATTGTTTGTTTATTTTGTGTGTTTTCAATTTAATCATAATGCGCTGGTTAACTTGTGTGTTTTGCCATTTATCTTGTTTATGTTTATGTGGTACATGATTTATTCATTATTATCATGCGACCGCAATCTTGAAATTTGTTACTAGTTTGTTGCTTGCTTTGTGCGCATGGACTTAATCTTTGTTGTTGTTGTTGTTGTTGTTGTCGGTGTTGGTGGCGGTGGTGTCTCCAATTTTTCATTGAAGGATGCACAACTAACAACGAATAGTGGGAAAAATAATGCTTGTGTGTTGAATCGGCTAAACTGAATCATGCATGCTCTAATTTCTTTTAAATCGTTTGGAATATTGTAATGCGGCAATGGGGGATATCTAAGCTTTAAAGGAAATAATAAATTTCTTTTCACAGTTGAATTCAAATGATTTCAGTGTTGTAATTATAAATAATATTCTAGGATTAGCATATTGTGCTGTATCTTCGAAGTTGAATTTTTTTTTTCATAACAGATGTCTTATTCAAATCTTTAAGTGGATGATGGTGTAAGCTATCAATCACTTACTCAAATCGATCCCGCAATAAAATTAGTTGAGCACATTCGACTCATTTAATCAAAACTAGCTCTCATACAAACAATCGTGAATGAATGAATGAATGACAGCATTATTATTTTCGTCATAATTTCCTTCATTAATAGTACTAATTCTGTCTGCTGGTATTCTTCTCGTATATATGTCTATTACAATTTAATGGAGATTGGACTAATGATGCTGTTCTACACCAGTGAAGCAAACATTGTGTTTTCTGCAGCTGAGCATTACATTGCCACGTCAGCTCCATACATGCATACATTGTTTCTGTGACATCTTTGAAGATAGTTAGTTAGTTATATTGGGGGAGACTATCGGGCAACTTTGCTGAGAAATCATAGAATAAATTTCTCTTTGAGGTCTGAGAAAAAAAGTTATTTTATGGATCTTACCACTTAAACAATAATTTAATACAATTAAATAGTAAAGTACCTAGAAAGATAATTCCAGTACTTCTATTGTTTGAAATGATTATAATGTAAAAAAAAGTGTTCAGTGGTCACTGAAGCTTTATACTGATAATTATTCATTAACTCAGTTAACTCTTGATAATATAGCTCAATTTGTGTTTTATACAGTTTTCAAAAGATTTTCACACTTTAGAAATACTGGGAACTTGTTGTCTAAGTATTCTATGTCTAGGTAAGTTGATTATTTCTCGAACTAAATCGGACTGCTCTGCCTGATTTTCACTTTTCTATTAGTTAGATACTGAAAGCTTATATTACCTATCGTAAGATTAATTTAGGCATAATGCTTAGTTATGAGAGATGATGAATAATGTCATTTTATGTTTTGTTTAGAAGTGACTAGATTCTATTGCTCCAATGTATCGATTAACCTGCCGTACACAAATTAGAACTTGTTTTAAATGTATTTGTCAACTCATTTGTAATGATTGTTTTTAATCTTCCCGTTGATGTTAAGGACCGGAATCGATCAGTTTTCTTGGCATATCTGTATAGTGTACGGATTACCTCCCTATGGCTTTGAAGTCACTAGCATTATTAGAGTTGGGTAGTGGTTAGCAGTTAAATTCAGAAAGCTGGTTTCATTCTGTTGAAGACTCAACTGAATTCACCTCAATCGCTGTGTTGGATCGCAAACCTGAAATCTTTCGCTCAGTGCTTAATCTATTCGGCTACTAAGTTGGAACACATTTCCTGGATTTCACTGATAACCACCATTCAACTATGCTTAAAAATGTCTATGATTGTCAATTGTTTAATACTTCTGATTGTAGATATTAAAATTCTGTTGATTTATGCTTTTGCAATTTTTGTTCGATGTAAATTTTCCTTTGTTCTCACTTCCATATTACAGCTAACACTGATCTACTAGTCATGCTTAAAACCACATGAAACTATTTTCGTACATTTTGTTGGGCCCGCTTCATTTTGTATTTGATCTATTCTCGGGTCTATCATAGCAAGTAAAGCACCTTCCCTAAAACGCCAAAGAACTTGACTTAATCTAAAATGTGTTCGAAAATTAAATTATTTTTGCTAAATAACGAGGAACTCCATAATTCGCTGTCTAAATATGCAAATACAACACAATGATTCCGTATTCGATGCTGATATGTTTTTACTCAGGTTATTAATTTTCTTATTTTAATAAAAATGCAAGAGATTTAACAGGAAAGTGCTATTCTCGTTACATCATAAAATTCCCTTGATTGATCTCATATCACCAAGCCTCTCTTTTCGACCCTCTTCCAGATCAGTAATTTCATTTTAACTAGATGAGTTGTGCTCGTTTTTTTGCCTGCTTATTGTTAACGTTTGTTAATTGCGTAGCTACCTATTTCTCTTTCCATTAATGTTATGGATTCTTGCAATGTTTTCTATATACTTTAGTTATTTCAACTAGATTTATAGCTTACATATCAATAAAATGTTTACTCAATGTGTCATTCCTATACACTAACTGCTGTTACAAATTTTTTATGTCTTTCATTTCCTGTGATGATGTTTCATTTTAATTTCTAGCTTATATTGAGCTCGATTTCCCTTTTTCTCATTGATCAATTATTGTCCATTCCCAGTGTTTATTAAATTCCGTTGACTTAATGGTTATGTAGCTCTATTATTCTAAGTAGATATTCGAATAAACAACTATATCCCGCCCCTAGATTTTATTACGGAATTCAATTACTATTATAACAAAAAGTAGTTGTTGGTCTGTCGGTGAAATTATAAATAGATTTCTTATTAGTTGTTACTTCGAAATGTGTATTTGGATTAAAATACCGCAGAGCATCTATATAAATCTAGTCCGAGTACTGATTAGTTCGCCTAAACTGTCTACCAATAACTTTCGGCTAATCAAGGACACTACGGTAGTGTGATAATCTTCAAGAATGACACTTAATAACTATTAGCCCACAATGCCGTTCTCCACACTCGTTCTGCCGATAGCCAGAATGAAATACAATGTTGCAAGCAGATAACTTTCAATCACACAGTTCAAATCTGTGAAACAGTCGTGCAATAATAAAGAAATCCTGACCACACACCAACATTATCACCAAATTACAATTATAAGGATAATTATGCCACGATTGGGAGAGGACTTACATGGTAGATCTATAATAAAGTAACAGTAACTTTATAAAAGTACAACACATAGCAACCCTTTTATGCATCACAGAAAAACTTACAAGTAGGAGAACTCAAAAATCCAATATTTCATGTGTTGAATAGTCGTACAACAAAAACATATACCATAACTTCAAATAGGACCGTGTCAAAAGTTCAACTTTGCTTGGTATTCATCTCAATATGACAGTTATGTTCTTGTAATGTCTTGTATTCTTATCTGAAATGATTTCTTCTGATTGGAATGAATTTTGAGTTGAATTCTCAAGATTCATAAATGGTATTTGGGCAAGATCTATTCTTGTCTCACCTGACAGCAAAATAACCATACTTACTTGCATTTATTCTTCCGGATAATTTGTTAATAACCACGTGTTATCATATCATTGCTTATCTATACAATTCACTGTATCGGCTTGAAATATAGTTGATGTTGCGCATGAATACTATGATTGTGTTTATTGTGAAATAAGTTTTCTGGTAGCGATTCCGCATCACCGAAGGGATATATGTCAACTGAAAAGGTATCGAAAATTCAACTTTCTTCGACAAATTTTCTAAATTCTTGTTCAGTTCTCAGAAATTCATACCTACAACTCCATCTCTGATTGAAAGCAGTAAACACAGACCTGTTTACTGGTGGTGGTATACGTTTAAATTAATGAGTGGAAATACTGGGGTTCAAATGTTTAACATCAGTCACTTTTTTACCATTGTGCAATTCTCATCCATCTATGTATTGACTAGGCATGATTTAAATCCAAGTGTAAACTCATTGAATAACATTTGAAGATTGCTCTTAACACTTACCAGCAAGTTGTCGGTTCTAGGCAATCATCATTTATAGATTCCTACTTTTGTTGAGCTCAGTAAGCTATCATTATGTGAAAATCCTCTTTAAATTATCTAATTTTTTTTTTAGTCAATGAGACGTCATTGAAAAGTTTCTATATTCCAAATAATGTAGGATTAATTTCACTTATCGTTTTGGACTAAAAAAAACCTGATAGTATATATATATATAGTGGTTTTGTAATTTCAGATAGATGAAGTACAAACTCATCCTTTCAACTAGAATTGATTGATTTCATTCTCATTTTGTCCACTATAGTTTTGATAATAATTCTTCGCTTTGTAGTTAATCTATTTTCTGTTTACATCTGTGGGAAATGATTCCTGTTAACTTTTCAACGAATTTACATTCATTTATTCATTCATTCATTCATATTATACAAATTTATTTAGTTTCAAGAAAACAGGCATAAATTTTTATTGTTATGTTAGACACTAGAAAAAGAAACAAAAGCTACAATTCGTGAAGTTATCTTTCGGCACGTTTCTGCACTAAGAGATATTCCAATTTTCATAGTCTTTTGTAGAGGAGGAGGATGAAGTTTACTTCATTAGATACTACTGCCATGCTGATTTGAAATTGAAATTTATAGACTGATTGGCGATCTGCCTCAATTTTCTCAGTTAGGTAACTGTGGCTGAATAACCAATTTGTAGATATGCTTTATTGTGATTGCATTTTCCGTAGACAAGTTCATTGTTTTCGTTTATTACCACGAATGCAATCACACAATCTCATAGCAAGAGACTATCGGATTTTTTTTTACCATAGAATCATTCAGCTCGAAGCTGACTGACATTCTCTCTATTGACCGTCTCCATCTGAGTCATAGTAAGGATAGTCCACCACAATATCCAGTTATTCAGATAAGTGGGTACATACATAGCAACCAAATCAGTGAAACTCCATGAGAGCAAATTAGTGGACAACACGAAAGATTATAACTATAACCTATTTATTAATGAGTAAGAAATTTGAGGACATTTGACTTTAAAAAATTGCCTTCCAGTGATTATTTAATTATACATTTTATGCGATTTTCATTTTGATCAGATAAATCCAGAACTGCCTAAAGGTCAAGGCGAGAAATTTTTATTGCGTCAAGTTGCTCTAATGTTGAATTTGAATTATGCATCTAAACAACCGAAACGTGCCATGCAGTTTGGTAGCCGTGCGGCTAAAGCTGAAGGATCAAAACGTTTGATTGGATCAGCTGACCGGATGAAATTCACAGATCAGTATGAATCACAGAAATAATAAATTATGTACTATGCTCTAAGATCACAACTATAATTTTTTTTTTTAAATTCTGATATGAGAATATATTACTTTTTATACTAAAAATACAATTGTTGATAAAATTCGATTATTTCTATACTCTTAAATGGGTGAGGGTATAATGACACATCCACGCCACTCACCTTGACAACTTACCAGATCTGAACGCTAATGGTGGGATGTGTATCACTTCCGTTATCACTGGAAGTCAATATGGATACTATGTTTCGTTATGCGTTGTGCTTCGTTTATTTTCCCAGAACAATAGATTTTCTTTTGTCTGAAATAACCTAAAATTGTCCCTTGTTCTTTGTTAGTTTATATGGAATCAAATTCTTCATCGTTTTCCACCATGGTGGACAATTCGGTGAGTTGATAATATTTCAGGTTTCCATATTCTCTATGTTGATTAGTGAATTAATTCGTATCAAGGGAGGATTTAGAATGAGATTGTAGCACTAATGGCAGTGAGTTACGGAAATTATACTTAGGAGTTAATGCATACTAAATAACTTCATTGGATATAAAACAACTTATTAGGTATCTTGAAGAGGATAAGTTTAAGTATCCTCTTCCATGAAGGGTCGAGTTCAAGTTTATTACATCTGAATTAATTATTTAATACACAATCCGTTCCAACAATGCAAAGTGTAAATTGTCTCTGAACAGATTCCAGCCTTAATTTATCTTTTATGTGAACACATAATATATAAAATAAAATACGCGGTCCATTGTTAAAGATATTATGAATTATACAATCCAGAAGACAATACTTTGAAGCCTGTTTAGATACTTGTTCTGGTTAAGATAAATTATATGAGTACTTGAGCCTTAAGTACTCAAGTATTTGTTACTATGAATACTATGCGTAGCCCAATTCATTATCTTGTACAGTATAGTTTTTACAATCTGAGTAGTATTTGTAAAAGTATGTAGTACATAAGTACAAGTATATTTCATATTTCGACCAAACAAACATTATTGGGGATCTACTGCTTCGGTTATCTGCCAAAAATTTATGAAACAACTAGGTTTGCGATACATTTCCTACTTCATCCTTTACTGACAACTATTTAATATCATCTATCGGTAAACCTTATTACCATCGTAAGTTAGTCAAGTTGAGCCATTGTAAATAATGTAAAACCTATTCATTAGGCAATGACATAAAGTCTAAATTCTTCTTACGATACAGGTCATTAATTTTTGGTTAAGTTCATTAACTTAAATAATACTGATTAGTGCAGCCAATATGAAGTAAGCTTAAACGCATTTAGAACAAAAAACGTGGCATGAACAATTACTCAATTAAAAATGAATAGCTTTTCCACAAGTTATAGATATCTCTTAGTAAGATCACATGAGTACTATTCTGCTATTAGCGTCAGACATGTGATCTAACGTAGCCTAACATACAACCTAATAATCTAGTCCACTGAGAGAACAAAATAACTCACCGTGACGCAACATGTTTAAATGAAAATATGTGATATACCCTCCTCTCTTTTAAATATAGGTAGGACTTACCATTTTAAAATATCGTTGTTCTAGTGTCATATAATAGCAATTGATATTTTGATCATTTTATTTTCTGGTTAAAATAGGAATTTTATTTTTAAACTGTTATCATGATTTATTATTATTTTTATATCATTTAAAGTAGGTTGACTTTGCCCAAAGATGATCGGAGTCAGATATTTAACAGATAGATTTACTTTCCTAATGTGTTCAATCGAATCCATAGTGTTTTTAAGAAATCTTACTGAGAGGTACTGCCCATACAAAAGAAGGTTTTTCATCTACCACTGAACCTTTGATTTCTCACTTGGCTCTGCTTGCTTCAAAATATCCTTTCTTATGAATTTACTTCTATCTTCCATTGTTTTTCACTCGTCCATCAGGGTTCTTGGTGTCTGCGTGTTCGCGTCACTGGATTGAACTGTACTGTTCAGATCATGGGTGTAAATCAGTGTACTGTACTATATTTATTTATGATTGTGTATAAATGTTGTTTTTCATTACACACATTTCCTCACCGTGAACTGACATTCGTTAGAGAAATTTATCGTCACAGATTAATAAAGTGTGAAAACTTAACATGATAATCAACTGATGTTTTGGCTATTATGGTGAAACAAGTAATACGTGGTTACTGGCAGAATATTACTGTTCATAAAATAGCAAACTACGAATCTAATGCTTCTTACTACTAATGATGTACGCCTGTGGTGCGCGCTACTTATAAGTAGTATATGACGCGAGTGTAAACGTAATGTCTGGCAGCAGAAGATGGGGGAAGATCAAGAAAGAAAGAGTGGGAGGAACACAATGAAATTTGTATGAAACGCATGAACAGTGAAATGTCAGACAATGGATTGATGATGGATTGAAGATTTGCAAATTAACCGTTTACGATATGGTTTTCCTATTTTACTGAGTAACTCTGTAATTTTCGATAAATACAATTCGTTTGCCTTCACCTGTGTTCTTCTTCACTACACGCCTACTACGAATATTCCCTCTGTATTCATTTATATTTGAACCAAACTATCCTCTATCCATTATCTGAAAATTTTTAATCGTTTACAATGACAAATATTTTATCCGCTTTATAATTGATTCAACTAGCCTTACCAACCTTCATTCAGATATAGCCAGCCATCTATACCTGTTAAATTTGTGATATAAATGTTACTTGCTACTTTTATTGAATTAATAATGGAAATGCATCTTTTCAAATTTCAGACAAGATTTAATTATTTTTAGGAAATTTGTTTTTTTTTGTTGTTTTTTTTTGTTACACATAGATTTCCGTCTTGATCACATCCCCCCTACCCTCAACGCTACATCGTTCTAAATTTATCGTTTTCTTCAAAAATTGCAATGCATTTTATCACAATGTAACCTAACCAACCCCTACAAAGTATGATTAGTTTTCTAATGATTTGTTTGAAATATTTCTTCTTTCTATTGAGATTAGGAACAAACGAACCAACAAACAAATATAAGCATACCAATAATACTTGCTTGCTGTTTACTAGATTACAAATAATTAGGATACTTTGTAACAAAATTACCAATGTGAATGAATGTAAAGTGTATTATCTTTATTTTTTAATTTTTTTTTAAATTTTATTTATCCATATTCATTGAGTTTTAATGTGTGTGTGTGTACTCAAATCCTATGAATAATTCATTTCATGTACGCAACGGTGGCGATGCTCATCCATAATATTGTTACTCCTTTCTTTTTTTTACCTAGAATAATAAACATATTTTTATCAGATAGAAAATGATTTTTAGTTTTCAAGGCTGTAGGTATATATAACCTGCCTATTATTATTATTATTACCATTGTTATGATTTTTTTTCTAATTCATTAGGGATCGTTTATGTTACAAACATTATTATTTGTTGTAGTATTATTGCTGCTAAATTGTATATTATTTCATGTATTCTTCATGTAACAACGAAATGTGAATCATTTGGTTAGTTTATTTATGTTCTTTTTATTGCTTGCTATTATTCTCTTTGTTTCACCAGTAAGTAATTCTACTATTCCTATTAATAGCAGTCGTCATTCACATATAAAGATTATTTTGTACCCCTGAATTATGAATAATGTATTCAATGGAACATGAATAATCGGGTTTATGTTAGTTTGTTTTTTTTGTGACCTCCAAGTCAGTGGTATCGAAATTCATTTCAGTTACTGTGTAATGTATTTTTTGATTATCAATGACAATGACTTTTGGATGTTGATGAGACTGTTATTATTAGATCAAAGTATCTGATTGTTCGTAGCTTAAACAACACTAAACAATCGATGCATAACTGTAGTGTATGGACATAAAATGTTGGATAACATAGATATGATGAGTTGTTTGACTTTGATAAACTTACTATTTTCCAGTTAGAGTTTTGGAGATTTGTGTTTTTACCCATTTGAAATCACCAATCAATCACTGTTAGACCACCATTAGAAACCAGGAAGAACTGGATCAATCAGAGTGAGACATTAACACCGTAGGGTCCCGGCCCAGTGGTCCGATGGTTAGGCGTTCGCGTACGGTACCGAAGGTCTTGGGTTAGAATCCTGCGAAGTGCAGGAGTCATGGGTGCGCACTGCTGATGAGTCCCATACCAGGACGAAACAGCCGTCCAGTGCTTCCAGGTTTTCTAATGGTGGTCTAACAATGATTGATTGATGATTTCAGATGTGTAAAAACTTACTTTTCGAATGAAATATTGTGTTTACATGGTAGGAAATATACTTTTGTAACAAAGTAGATATGTTGTAGTACAATATATTCAATGAATCAACTTATCTTAGAGGGGGGTGATTTTCATGTTTTCTGTAGTATTTCATCAAAACGCCTTGCATCAACATGTATGTAGAATTTCTTAAAATAAAGACAATTTTCATACTAATTAGCTAGTAAATATTATATAATCTAGTGACTACTAGGCTTAATAGAAGGCCATTTGTGACTTATATTGCTTAATCCTGACGTACCTGACTGTTTTCCTAGCTGAGTCCAGTTCCACTTCTCGATGAAGTACCAACTGCTTCATGAAAGTTAGTGGTTTGTGCTTACCTGTTGGCTTCCTACAGAATCCCTCGAAAAATCTATTTAAGCAACATTATTGATATTGACTGATATAAGAGCATCCTGTCACTGAACTATCTGTATTTCAAAAATCGTATACTTTGTTACTTACTCACTTAATCTTGTTACCCCTATTGGATCGTAAACCAACGACCAATATTCTCCAACCTACCTTGTCCTGGGTCTTCTTTTACTATTCTATCCAACTGATTTCCATTCTCTTCATATACATCTTTGATTCTCAGCATATAGTGTTCTCTGGTCTTCCACTTCTCTTTTAACCTTGAGGATAACAAGCCAGGGCTTGTCTTGTGACACAGCTGGGTGCTTCCTCAATGTATGTCCTAGCCACCCCCAGCACGTTTTTCT